TTATGCTATTTAAAGTATACTATACTGTCAGAAATAAAGGGAATAAACTGTCACTGGGGTGGGACCCTCAGGGTCCATCTCAGTACCTTTAGTCAGGGAACATAACTGAACCATAATCCACTGAAATGATATGTTCTAAGCTGTACTGACTCCACACACCCCGTCTCGTCTCCAGGCTTTTATTTTACTGTTCTGTTTAAAACATTCGGATATGAAAAGGTACAAATACGAACTTTTCACCTGGAAAAACTTATTTAAGGTTCACAATCAGACCTTAAAACCACTGTTGTACCTTTGAGGGAACATTTACAGTGTTTGTACCATTTCTAACAGTGTACATCACGAGACAAAGCATTAACAGTACTCACTTTTATACCCCTAGTTGGTAATTGCAAATAAATAGGGACACAGTGATGAAAGGTCGTAGGAAGGTGAGGCCACAGCAGTGGAGGTTGCCCCCCTGTCTCGCTGGTGGTGGCTGCAGTTAGATGAACAGATACGCTCAAACCTTTTTCACGATCTGCTGCCTTTCCTCACCTTCTTTATCCTGCTGTAACTCCTAGTTTTAAAACTGTCTTCCTCTTTATTGCAAATTAGGGCCTATTGTGAGTGCTGACAAACTGCAAGCTAGGAGTCTTTCAGGGCTGTGCTTGTCACCTTGCAGGGTTTTAATAAGTGACAATAGTGCGCCGCCCTATTTATGCCACTAAGAACATTTATCAGAGGCTGACACGGCCTGACTGAATTCTATTTTCAGTGAGCCTGTCAAGGCCAGCCTTGCTGCAGTGCTTGTGTGCCTGTTTGTTTGCGTGTGTACTGGTGTTAAAATGGCTAGCGTTTGAATGAGAGAGGCTTCTGAAAGCACTGATTGAATTTGGAGGGCAGGTCTGGAGCGGAGAATACTGGAAGTGACAGATTGTCCTTTTCCTCCGCAGCCCTGGCACCATGAAAGCCTCCCGAATTAAATTAGGCATAATGTGGAGTGTCCGTAAATACCTTCGGCAAACGCATTTCCCGGCATGCACTGAGGAGGGAGCCGGAGAGAATGGCAGGCAGACAAGCGTCTGTGTCGTTTTGTGAAAGGTGACACTCTCGCGGCTCATTTACAAGAACAGTTCTTTAAAGAACCATCCACAGGTTCTTCTGTGGCATTACATAAATAACATTTTTTGGCATCTTTATTTTTAAGAGTGTAGTCCTGCTGTAGTTGTGTTCCTGCTGTAGTCCTGTAATCCTGTTCCTGCTGTAGTCCTGTAATCCTGTTCCTGCTGTAGTCCTGTAATCCTGTTCCTGTCGTAGTCCTGTAATCCTGTTCCTGTTGTAGTCCTGTAATCCTGTTCCTGTCATAGTCCTGTAGTCCTGTTCCTGCTGTAGTCCTGTAACCCTGTTCCTGTCATAGTCCTGTTATCCTGTTCCTGCTGTAGTCCTGTAATCCTGTTCCTGTCGTAGTCCTGTAGTCCTGTTCCTGTCATAGTCCTGTTCCTGCTGTAGTCCTGTAATCCTGTTCCTGTCATAGTCCTGTAATGCTGTTCCTGCTGTAGTCCTGTAACCCTGTTCCTGTCATAGTCCTGTAGTCCTGTTCCTGTCATAGCCCTGTACCTGCTGTAGTCCTGTAATCCTGTTCCTGTCGTAGTCCTGTAGTCCTGTTCCTGCTGTAGTCCTGTAATGCTGTTCCTGTCGTAGTCCTGTAGTCCTGTTCCTGCTGTAGTCCTGTAACCCTGTTCCTGTCGTAGTCGTGTAGTCCTGTTCCGGCTGCAGTCCTGTAATCCTGTTCCTGTCGTAGTCGTGTAGTCCTGTTCCGGCTGCAGTCCTGTAACCCTGTTCCTGTTGTAGTCGTGTAGTCCTGTTCTGGCTGCAGTCCTGTAATCCTGTTCCTGTCGTAGTCCTGTAATCCTGTTCCTGTCATAGTCTTGTAATGCTGTTCCTGTCGTAGTCCTGTAACCCTGTTCCTGTCGTAGTCCTGTAATCCTGTTCCTGCTGTAGTCCTGTAATCCTGTTCCTGTCATAGTCCTGTAATCCTGTTCCTGCTGTAGTCCTGTAATCCTGTTCCTGTCATAGTCCTGTAATCCTGTTCCTTTCATAGTCCTGTAATCCTGTTCCTGCTGTAGTCCTGTAATCCTGTTCCTGCCGTAGTCCTGTAATCCTGTTCCTGTCATAGTCCTGTAATCCTGTTCCTGCTGTAGTCCTGTAATCCTGTTCCTGTTGTAGTCCTGTAATTCTGTTCCTGTCGTAGTCCTGTAATCCTGTTCCTGCTGTAGTCCTGTAATCCTGTTCCTGTCATAGTCCTGTAATGCTGTTCCTGCTGTAGTCCTGTAATCCTGTACCTGCTGTAGTCCTGTAATCCTGTTCCTGCTGTAGTCCTGTAATCCTGTTCCTGCTGTAGTTCTGTAAATCTGTTCCTGCTGTAGTCCTGTAATCCTGTTCCTGCTGTAGTCCTGTAATCCTGTTCCTGCTGTAGTCCTGTTCTATTCCTGTCCTAGTATCATCCTGTTCCTGCTCTATTTCTGCAGTGCTGTCATTGTTCTGTAGTCCTGTTCCTCCTGTGGTCCTATACCTACTGTAGTCCTGTAGTCATAGTCCTGCTGTTCTCCTGTTCCTGCTGTTGTCCCGTTCAGGCTATTGTACTGTTCTTGCTGTAGTTCTGTTCATGCTGTTGTCCTGTTCTTGCTGTTGTCCTGTTCCTGCTATTGTCCTGTCCTGCTGTTATCCTGTTCCTGCTATTGTCCTCTCCTGCTGTAGTCCTGTTCCTGCTGGACTGATTAAATGTGCTACATTTGACAAAATGGGAAAAGTGTGAATGGTCCCTAAATGAGATTTCTGAAGAATTTTGGAGGTTTTGGTAATAAAAATCTCACCACAAAAGCGTTCGAGATATATTATTTTATTTTTTATATGTGGTTTTATTTTTTACACCATCTGAAAGCAGGATGGTCTTGTTTTTCTGCTGCAGAGTGGACGCTGTGCTTAGCTGTCTATTTTTGTAACATGAATACAGGTGCAGGTCATCATCTAATGGCTCTACAGATAGCACACACACACACACACACACACACACACACACACACACACACGCACACACACACACACACACACACACACACACACACGCACACACACGCACACACACACACACACACACACACACAATGTCCTCTGTAGCCCCCGTCCCCTTCACACACTCTTACCAACAATCCCCTCCACACTCCAGCAGTCCTTTATAGCCAACGACTCTCTCTCTCTCTGTCCCTCTCTCTCTTGTCTGTATCTCTCTCTTCCTCTTACTCTCTCTGATGCTCTCCATCTCTTTCTCATTCTCTCTGTCTCCCTCTGTCTGCCTCTTTCTCTCTCTCTCTCTGTATCTTTCTCATTCTCTCTCTGAATCTTTCATTCTCTCTCTCTCTCTCTCTCTCTCCATCTATCTCTGTCTCTCAACTTCAATCTCTCCCTCATTCTCTGTCTCTCTCTTTCTGTCTCTTTCTTGATCTGTCGCTTTCTCATTCTCTCTCTCTCTCTTGCTCTCTTTTTCTTTCTCTGTCTCTCTCTCTCAATCTTTCTCATGCTCTCTCAATCTCAATCTTTTATTCTCTCTCTCTCTCTCTCTCTCTCTCTCTCTCTCTCTATCTCTGTATTAAGCACACAGATTGGTGCAGGGTCGTGCGAGTCAGACTGCGTTAGTCTATGTCTCTCGCTCTCTGACCGGGACTCTGTCTCTCTCTGACTGACAGAGACGGACAGACACAGGCTGAGCGCCGGGTGACCCCTGCCCTAAAGGTCGCCCTTCATATGTCTCATATTTTTCTGCTTTCAGTAGAAACCTAAAAAGTAGAGCGTGTATTTATAATATTTAATCTGTTTAATATTATTCTTATTGTTTGTGCAATAAACTGTTCGAACTATGAAACACACAAATAGGAATATAAGCCACATCAGTTTATTATTACTAGCGAAACAGTAATGAGCTCGTTCTGATCTGAGCAGTAGGGTGAATGAGCGTGCATGCCGCTCTCCCGTGCATCTCAGCATGTCCATCTTCAACATAAATGGGCAGAGCTTAACTGCTCTAGGCTTAATAGGTGGATATATGGAAATGTGTTGGTTTTGTGTGACATCAGAAAAACAGTGAATTCAAAACAGGTTAATTTAGCAGCTCAGTTCACATATATGGACTGTGTGTACTGGGGAACGTTAAACGTTCACTAGCTAGCACTAGTGGACTCTTTATGCTGATTTATTTTGATTGGCCATTGAAATGTGCAACAGTGTACCTTGCCCAGTTAGCCTACACAGCAGACTGCAATGATAGGTTAGCTGTTGTGCCCACTTTCAAGGGCAAATCGATGGAAACTGTTGATAACAACATAAAACAATATTTTACTGTTTAACAAATAATATCTGTAGGGTTCTAGTGACTTGTCTCCATAGTTGACCATGAGTGAACCACACCCACATCATCCATTGAAGCTCTGCTATATGATGCATTCATATTTATTCTCTTTAAAATACATCTACAATATAAACCTCATAATAAACACTGTACTGCATGTCCAGGAGTATCCAGACACTCTTTCTGATGAGTGAATTCAGCTGCTTTAGTCCACCCATTGCTTGTATAGCATCTATAGAAAAGCACTGACCAATAGAATGGGATACTCTGGAACAGTCTAAGGTCACCATGCCCAATGTCCAGTGTGGGCTAAAGGGGTATAAAGCCCCCCAGCATTGGGCTGTGGATCAGTGGAACTGTGTTCTCTGGAGTGACGGAGCTCCATCCAATACCTTAGGGATGAGTCGGAGTGGTCCAGAACTGACCATCCAACATCAGTACCTGACCTCACTACTGCTCAATCAAATCCTCACAGCAATGTTCCAACATCTATTGTAAAGCCTTCCCAGAAGAGTAGAGGCTGTTACCGGTGTAAAGGGAGACAAACTCACTATTAATACCCTTCATTTCAGAGGAAACACTGTTGAAACTTTGTGATGGTGGTGTTTTCTTTCAGAGTCGGACGTGGCGGATTTTGACGGCCGGAGTTCTCTGCTGTACCGGTTTAATCAGAAGTCTATGAGCACGGTGAAGGATGTCATCTCTCTGCAGTTTAAGAGTCAGCGGGCGGAAGGGGTTCTGGTCCACGGTGAGGGTCAGCGGGGGGATTATATCACGCTGGAGCTACACCGGGGCAGCCTGGCTCTACACATCAACCTGGGTGAGTATCACTCTGAATAAAGCTGCGTTTGGGTTAGAAAATAAGATTTTCATTGTGGAGGAATTCAGACTACAGGTGTTTTTTGTAGTCATAATATAGACAGAACAGCTTGATTGAAGGAAAGAGTGGAGATATGACACGAGTGCAGATGCTTTCAGAAATGATACAATTAATCATTTAACAAGCCACCATTCTCAGTAGCAAGTTTAGGGTGTTTTCACACTTACGTGCACACCCAGGACCGATTCTGGGCTTGTTTGGTGGGAGGGACTCTTTGTCACTGGTTTGCTGTCACACAGAAGAGCTCCAACCAAACTGTGCAATTCCTTAAGTCACTTTTCTGAGTACAGGTTTGCAAAACAGTAGGCGCTAGCTTCCTCCATTTGCTTTTTTTGGTACTTTTTCCCCAATTTTCTCATATCCAATTCCACCCAAAGTTAGGACTCCCTAAACACACAACACCACCAGCATTAAGAGGGCGAAGGCTCTGCACAGGCTTCCTCCGAGACCTGTGAAACCAGTCACCGCATTCCAAACTGCTGCACATGCAACATTGCTGGACAGCCAAATGTGCTCAGAAGAAATCAGCAGATCTTTCCCATCCTACCCCCCCAGAGAGTGAGGCCAATTGCGCTCTCTTGGACTCTTGGCCACGGATGGCTGTAGAATCACCAGGGATCGAACTCACAATCTCCGGGTGATAGGGCCGGATGCACCACTCGGGAACCTGGTGCCTTTCATTACTTTCCTTGGATACAAACACTCAACTGGTGAAGAACATCCCACCATCATGAAACTTGAGAAGAGAAGTGATGTGATAACTCAAAGCCGTTACATTACAAAATGAACCAATCATGCGACCTCATGTGTCGCTGGTGAGCTTCCACGTGTGCAGCAGACCCCACCAGAGTTGGCTGGAAGCGAACCCCAGACCACTGATTTCAAGAAGACCAGAGATTGGTTCTCTGGACCTCTCCCGAGCTCGCAAACAGCTTTCATGTTTGACCAAAGATACCAAACTTGCAGAGCAAGTCTGGAAAAAAACTGTACTGTGAAAACACCCTTAGAGTGAACTGACCTCGATTCTGGGTCAACAGCAGGAGGAGAAGATCTAAGCGACTGTGAAAGAGGGTTCATTATTGGGGCACGCATGGCAAGAGCTGCTTAGCAGTCGAGTCTAAAGTGACCTCTGCATTTAGATCTGTGGGAAAGACATCAGTAGTCAGGGTTGAAAGTGCACGTTCAGTAAGCTGAGGCTCGTGCTTTAGTGTGATATGTAAGAGCAGCTGTTCCCATGGTGACACAGAACGTCAACGCAGGATGTGATCAGACTGTCAGCAAGAACAGTCCGTCCATATCTTGGGAGATTATAGCGGGGCTGCAATACATAGGACCAATTACAAACACCAATGACCATCTGAGAGGTCAGTGGTGTAAAACTCAAGTGGGAGAGTGCATGTGCAGCGTACACCAAGTGAACAGCACAGGCCTGAATGCTTGATGCCTGCAATGAGGGGGTCCTGTGGCTCTGTTATGCTATAGGGGCATTTTGCTGGACACTAAGCTCTGACTGATCACCTTTATCCCATGATGAAACATTCCTATCCTGATGGCAGTGGTCTCAGTGCCCCCTATCTGCAGGACACAAGGGTTCCAATACATTGTAATGGGTTGATGAGTTGGAAGATGATGTAAATGATATGCTATGACCTTCACAGTCACCAGATCTGAGCCCAGTTGAACAGCTATGGGGGTTGTGAGGTCTGATTGTCTTATAAGATGCAAGATTAGGAAGAACGTACGTTCAGTCAGGTGGGTCTTATTAAACTGTATTCAGTACAAATGCAGTCTCTGGAAAGTCTGTCTTCAGTGGCAGTAAAGTGTAGTGAGGAAAAGTGGTGAAAAAGAAAGAAAGAACACTTTTCTCCTTATTTTGACTCGAGTACTCGGTTTATTTTTGCTCTTAGAGAAGATAATGAGTGATACACACAAGCAAGAGTCTAATCAGAACCCCTGAGGGGATTATTATGGGCTGTAAATGAGAGAACGGACACACACACACACACAGCGTCCTGTAGAGGTCAGTCCTATTAAATCAGACTGAGCGATAAAAGAGAAATAAGAAAGAAAAAAGATGGAAAATGGAAAAAGAAAGACAGAGAAAAGAAGATAAGTAAGGAAAGGAAGATTAAAGGAAGTAAAGAAAGAAAGAAAGAGAAAAAAGAAATGAAAAATGAAAACATGGATTGAAAATTACTCTCTTCCTAAAGTTATCAATATGCTCTCTCTCTCTCTCTCTCTCTCTCTCTCTCTCTCTCTGGCTGTAGATGATGCTAAAATGCACCCGAGTAGTGGTCATGTGTCCGTGTCTCTGGGCAGTCTGCTGGATGACCAGCACTGGCACTCTGTCCTGATCGAGCGCTTTAACAAACAGATTAACTTTACAGTGGACAGACTGACCAGGCACATTCGGACAGGAGGACTGGGGGACTCACTGGAGGTCGATTATGAGGTGAGTGTGTTTCTCAGCATTACAATTCGGCAGCTATGATGCTCTATAATGTTCATATGATCCACTCAGTCACTCTGACAGACTGTAATACACTACAGGAAGTGTAGGGGGCGATATGGCTTCTATTGTTTGATTTAAAAAGCACTCTATAATGTTAATATGATTCACACACATACATAAAACAAACTGTAAAATAACTTCCAGCTCTTTGCCTTCTTGGTTTCACAAAGCTCAGCTTTGGAGGAATCCCTTTGCCTGGAAAACCAGGAACGTTTCTGCGGAAAAACTTCCACGGATGTATGGAGAACCTGTACTACAACGGGGTCAACATCATTGACCTGGCCAAGCGCAAGAAACCCCAAATCTACAGTGTGGTGAGTGTTCTATATGCTACACTTACAGCATTGCTAAAATGCCCTTCTATAATATAATAGACTGAAGTAGTATGTATATGTGCTAAGGTTTCAAAACATACCGGTCACCCGAAAGTCCAAATGGGGCCCGTTTGAATTCTTCATGTCCATGATGTTGCCATAAACACATTTACGTATGACCTTCTCTTTAGAATGTGTAAAAATGATTTCTGACTGTTTTTAGTACATAAAACCACCAAGTAAAATACAAAAATAACATGGACACACAGTGTCTATGACGTGAAGCACCATTCTAATGAAACAGCCAAAGCTATCTGAGTGCTAATAGTGCCTCCTTGTGGAGAATCTTCAGCCTGCTCAACGTGAATGAGTGAGTAAATGATTTCCATTGGGTGCTTCACATCTAAAACATAGAATATTTCTTTAATTGAGAAGTTTTCATTCAGAATAATTCTCTTTAGGTGATTCAAGCAAAGAATTTATATATACATACATCATCTAAACCGCTTATCCTTCTGGGTCGCTGGAGCCTATCCCAGCCGTCATTGGGCGGAAGGCAGGATACACCCTGGACAGGTTGCCAGTCCATCGCAGGGCAGACAGACAGACATACACATTCACACACACACACTAACACCTAGGGGCAATTCAGCATGTCCAATCAGCCTGACTGCATGTTTTTGGACTGTGGGGGGGAACCGGAGTACCCGGAGGAAACCCACGCAGACACGGGGAGAACAGGCAAACTCCACACAGAAATGACCCTGGTCGCCTGGCCGGGAATCGAACCCAGGCCCTTTTTGCTGTGAGGCGACAGCGCTACCCACTACGCCACCGTGTCGCCCTGAGTTTATATATATATATACAACCCCATTTCCCAAAAAGTTGGGACACATCATGGATGCTGACTTTGAAACTGGTTTCCAAAAAGAATTTCAAATTTCAATTTGTCAGACCACCAGACACTTTGCCTCAGCCCAACCTAAATGAGCTCAGCCCCAGAGAAGGTGGCAGCATTTCTGGATCCTGTTTATATTTGGTCTCTTCTTTGCGTTTTAGTGTTTTAACCAGCATTTGTGGATGAAGCGACAAACTGTTTTCACAGACAGTGGTTTTCAGAAGTGTTTCTGAGCCCATGCAGTGATTTCCACTACAGAATCATGTCTGTTTTTAATGCAGTGCTGCCTGAAGGCCTGAAGATCTTGACCAGCCAATATTGGTTTTTGGTCTTGTCCCTTACATACAGAGATTTCTCCAGATTCTCTGAATCTTTTAATGTTATTATGTACCATAGATGATGAAAAGCAGAAGTTCTTTGCTTTTTTATGTTGAGAAGCGTTATTCTTGAATTGTTGCACTATTTGATCGTGCAGTTTTTCACAGAGTGCTGAACCCCTCCTCATCTTTACTTCTGAAAGACTCCGCCTCTCTGAGATGCTCTTTTATACCCAATCATGTTACTGACCTGTTACTGTACTGACCTATATATATATATATATACATTGCTTTCTATTTCTTTTTGTTCTACAAGGCTGAAGTTGACTTCATATTCACCAACTTTTTGTTAGAATTTTCCGTTCCACCTTAAATTGAACAGCAGTCGCATTCTGACACCTGTACCGGCAACTTAATGTAACTGCTGCAACATTTAAGGCGGAATAGAAATTTTGAATAAACAGCCAACTTGTCCAGTTTCTCAAGCTGTTTGTCTCATGTGTGCGTCCTGTACACTCGCCCCTCCGACCTTCAGACGCTGCTGGAATTTGGAAAACATTAAAACATCGTTCACGCCTCAGTACCAGCTGCTCCATGGATTGTTTCAAGACTTTTGCATCATATGATGCAGCTGATCGAGTTAGGCTACTTTTCAGGTGCTACCAGAGGAAAGAGAAGCGTTCTGGTGTCCATGCTAGGCTAATGCTGACACCAAAAGACCTGCCTCTCATTTATGTCCCTACTTCGAAAACAAAGTGGACTACTTCGAGGGTCTGCTGTGTTTTCACTTTCATTTGAAACATGACTGAAACATCCCTGACATTCAGCTAAATGGACTAACATCAGCATGATTGGCACTGTTTGTACTTACTTGTACTTAGTGTTTTCTTTTCACCAAATTTAGTGTCTCCAATTCCCAGCGCTTGTAAGTCTCTCTCTGTTTGGCACTCCAGTCTGGGAGTAAGGCAGAAGACTACATGTGTTTTCTCTGAGGCGTATGAGGTTTGGCACTGAGCTTTAGCCACCAGCCAAAAACTGGATTACACTGCCAGGTTACTCAAGGAGCTGGACAAAGAGCGTTAGCCACAAAGTATACGCATCAGCAACACTGTGACAAATCAACTCCTTCTATCCAGTCACTTGTAATAAAGGCAATTTCAGAGTTTATATCACAATACCTACATTTAGAGTCGGTTATTCATTCAGCCTAATGAGAAACAGTAGAACAGACTCAGTTTATATCACAATACCTACATTTAGAGTCGGTTATTCATTCAGCCTAATGAGAAACTGTAGAACAGACTCGGTTTATATCACAATACCTACATTTAGAGTCGGTTATTCATTCAGCCTAATGAGAAACAGTAGAACAGACTCGGTTTATATCACAATACCTACATTTAGAGTCGGTTATTCATTCAGCCTAATGAGAAACTGTAGAACAGACTCAGTTTATATCACAATACCTACATTTAGAGTCGGTTATTCATTCAGCCTAATGAGAAACCGTAGAACAGACTCTGTTTATATCACAATACCTACATTTAGAGTCGGTTATTCATTCAGCCTAATGAGAAACTGTAGAACAGACTCAGTTTATATCCCAATACCTACATTTAGAGCCTGGATACAGAACAAACATACAGTCGTACATGTTCTGAAGCTGTTCTGCAGCGTTTCCTCCTGCACTTCTGGCCCATCTGGGATTAGATGTGAACCGTAGGGTGCTTTACAGTGAGCTGTGTGGCTGAATATTGATCAGTGCAGTGGTTGCTGAGCTCCTGCAGAGATATGCCTAATTACTCTGTTCACAAAAGCTCGGTGATTGCGCACTTCCGTAGAGCTGGATGACATGGAAAAAAAAAGATTGGGATAAATGCTGGAATACCTTGATGTATGTGATGATAATTGAGAGGAAAGGGAAACACCACCGAGGCATTCATACAGTCAACAAATAATCATAATACAGTGAATAATAAAGAAGTGCCACTAGTTTGGTGCATACTGTGTTACTTTTGTAAACGGCTAATAGGCTTAATTATCTCGTAGCATTGCTGCTGCTGGTGGCTGAATGTTTCTGCCAGGACTTTTCTGGCCAAAGTCTCCTCGTACTCTGTAGTGTGGCTGCTTTGTAAATGAGGAAATAAATATTGTTCTTCACCATCATCTTTAAAACTAGTGTTAATCCATGTTACGGATACACAAGCTTTACTGGCTGTTCAATTTTCCCAAATTTGATGTCCGGAATATCCAGATTGTATCCAGATTGATTTTTGATAGCCTGGACAGCAAAAGTCCAAATAAAATCTGGTTTTTTTTGCAAATCCAAACCACATTTGGAGGTGGTTTGAAATTCAATTCCAATCAGAATTGAACAGATGCGTCTCAGCCTGGACACTTAAATCAGATTTCAAAGTGTCTTATGCGTCACTCGCAACATGACAAATGATGATGATGCCAAATCCAGAGTGACGGAAGTGCTGGGATTCAAGAGGAGCACCAAATATTCATGTTTATGCCAGATAATTCTGAAGAGTTTGGAGGGCGAGATGATGCACCTCCATCTCTCCTGCATCACATTTGAGATCTACGTCACCAGCGTAGCTACGTAGTTACTGACACCTACGTCGTTACCACGGCAGCCCATGCAGATAGGCAGGTGATGCCTGGACACATAAATCCGATGTGATCACTTGCAAATAACAGTGCGGACGGTCGTCTCAAAAGATCTGATTTGAGAAATCTGATTTGCCTGCAGTCTCAACATGGCCTTTGTTTTTGTTCCACTTCCATTCTTTCTGTTGCCTGTTTTTTTAATTGCCAAATTTAAATATGCCAACTACGAGTTAATCATTAAGGGAATTGCAACTGATCATTTCCTGCAAATAGTATCTGGACTGTGACCTGATTTGATTTTAACCACACGCATTTAGACCTAGTAGTCAAATCGTAGTTGGAATCTCCAGTTAGTCAGATTTCAATCCAACTGCTATATGTTGAGTAATATGCAAATCAGCTTATATACAACCGATTGCCATCTCGTTTGCCCCTCATTTTTTCCTGTTCTAAAAGATGCCACCTCGATTATCATAGATTCGTATGGCATAGTTAATTTCATGGTTGTTTGGACCGGTGGTCCTCAGGAACCCCCGGACTACATTACTCTGGTCATAAGATCTGGACTGTCTTGTGGTCCCTGAAGAGGACTGATTTAGTCCAATTAGCCTCTTCTATTAGTATTGCAGTCATGATCTTGTGCATTTACACATAACAGTGTGGCGAGATGGAGACTAACATCAGGATATAGAAATAAACTAAACTGAGGCTTTTTAAAGCCAACCAGCCCAACATGCAGTCCGGCAAAGTAGGAGCTGAACTGAAGGATCAGCTATGCCTCGATTAAGTCCAGTGAGCAGTCCATTCCCCATGTGGAGTCACAGTATTGGGAGGGGTGTTGGTTGCTTGGAGAGATAGATGATTTAGATGGATGATAGATTTATATTTGCCTAACATCTTGCATGGCACGCCTGTGTTTGAACTTCCATGAATTTTCCAATAGCATATTATTGAACCACCCTTACTTTTCTGTTTGGGTACATTTTTGGGGGTAAGAACAGAATCTACACACACTCAAGAGCACAAAGGAGAGAACCGTTCTGCGCTTTAAGAACACGTCATGAATCTGACGGAGACTTTTTCTGAGGACCTTTCTCAACAACAGATTTAAGAACAAACTTAGAACGATATTGGATATTGGCGAATGAGGCCCAGTGTTCCTGAGAACT